GGGCAGGGCAATGACCAACCAACACGGCGGGAGCTCGACGAGACGGCCACGGCGTAGGTGCAGTGACACAGCGTGCAGCAGCCGCGCGGTGTCGTGACTTTCGTAAACGCGGTAGGTTTACGTGGCGCTGGCCAAGCACGGTGCGACAGGGCGCGACAAGGCAGGCAGCGCCAGTCAGTCGGGACGTAGACCTATGTCGGGGCGTGAGAGCAGTGCTCGGCCGGCAGCAGCTCGCGCCCAGCAGAGAGCGGACGCGGCCATGTTGGCCCGGCGTGCAGTCGACGTCCACAGGCTAGCCAGCGGGGCAAGGCACGGTAGACGGCAATCAAGCGAGTGGGGACAGCAGCGCGGCGACAGTGGCTCGACTCGGCTAGGCGCTCAGCCGGCGGGCCAAGTCACGGCATGGCCAGACACGGCCAAAGCGTGCTGAGACGCGCAGTGACTGCGGCCCAAAGGCCAAACGGGCAAACCAGTGCCGTGCACGCTTTTTAAAGCGATGCCAAGGCCACCAAGCAGCGAGGTAAGGCTCGGCCAACTTCACTCACCCAAAGTCCATGCCACCAGCTAGCTAGGGAAGGACTCGGCGCGACCAAAGAGCGACTAGGGAAGAAGATACGAGAAGGCCAAGATGGGTTCGTCGCACAGCGCACCGGTTCACGAACAGAGCACCGAACGTAGTTCTACGTGCGTTCTAAAGGGTTCTGAAAAGTTCTAGGGATAACCCCGCTACATCAGACCATTCTGCGAACCACTCCGCGCCAAAGTACTTACCATGATGCAACTAACGATGAAAGAATATAAAGTTAACGTCCAAGAAAATTAGCTAGAATTTAAATACTAATACGTCATCGTTTATCGTTCCCGATTTAGAAAGTTATAACTTTTAGTTTTGACTGCATCTAGAGAACTATTCAACTAGCTAGTGCAATATAACTAGCCACGAGTGATACTTTTAAACCTAAGTTAAAGATTTTAAAGTCCGAGAAACTCGTTTCGGTAAATCTTGTTAGGTCTAAACTGCGGCACTAAATAAGATCGTAACACCGCGGTGTTACAAGCAACATGCAAATAATGCAGATCTTGGAGTTCACATGTGCATGCACGCATGCTTGCACCACGTCATCAGCAGCTGTAAACCGAATAGGACACGCAGATGTTCAGCAAAAAGATGTACATGATCAGGTGGCCTACTTCACGCCATGCATGGGAGAGGCACCTGTGCACGTGATAATCGTTCCTGATTTGTTGATGGCGGTCAACCTCGTCAACGACCGGGCTCAAGAACGACGACCAAGCGCCGCCTTTTCAGCACCAACTTGATCACTGCTCCGTGATGCGCCGACAACATCTTCGTCCACTCGGATCCATCTCGAACACCGAGCGAGCCGCCCGAAACATCAAGCGACCACCTGTCGCATTGCAATGATGATCGCCGCAAAGAACGGCGCCATAACAACCGCGACCGCCGCCACGACGACAGGCCGGAAAGCTCGAGAGCCGAGCAACTTTGTCAACGCCGATCAGATAACGCCATACGCCGCCGACCAGATGTTCTGTCTAAAGCTAAGTCACGCTTTAATATTTTTCTAAATGTTTTCCGATCTTCGTATATCGCCGTAATATTTCTCTGAGCCGTTTTCTCCATATTTGCACTCCAAATGATTTTTCGAACCCCCGAACAGTCATGTTGATGCTTGGACGCCTCCAGAAACGGCCCGGTCTCCGGCTCCTCCCTACACGTGCACGAGAGTCTGCCCTCTGCATTATGGGTGGTCGGCAGCGGCTCCTTAGCGACGCCTGTTCCTCCTACACGTGCACAGGCTCCGCGCTCGACGTTATGGACTATGGGCTAGCTAGGGCTGGAGACTCAGTTACACACTAACTGGTCGGGCGGTTTATATTAAATATAATTACATCTTTGCTTCAACTGATCGTCAAGCTACATACGCTATTTTTTCTCCGGAGTTCATATATTTTTACATCATGTACTACCTGTTCTACATGTTTGTATTGCAGTATCATCGTCCAGGTGATCGGACCATCTGGTGCTCGGACTTCTTCACCGATCAAATGGTCGGACCGCTTGGTTCATGGACTCTGTCGCCGACCAGTTGATCGGACTATTCGCCGGTCGTGCTTCATCGCCAGCTACGCCGGTTACTCCTCGACGCTCACATTCTTCGTGCTCGAGGACTAAGTGGGCACACTTCACCGCACGAACGTCGCCAGCTACGCCGGTGCTCGGACCTCGCCAGCTTCACCGGGAACTTCTCGGTGCTCGAACATCGCCAGCTACGTCGGGGACTCCTCGGGGCTCGGACCTCGCTAGCTTCGCCGGGGACTCCTCGGTGCTCGGACATCGCCGCCTACGCCGGTCGCTCCTCGGTGCTCGGATATCACTGCCTACGTCGGGGACTCCTCGTATCGCCAGCGATGCTAGGGACTCCTCGCTCTTCGGTGCTCGGACATCGCCAGCGACGCCGGGGACTACTCGCTCTTCGGTGCTCGGACATCGCTAGTGACACCGGGGACTCCTCTCTCCTCCGTGCTCGGACATCGCCAGCGACGCCGGGGACTCCTCGCTCCTCGGTGCTCGAACATCACCAGCGACGCCGGGGACTCCTCGATCTTCGGTGCTCGAACATAGCCAGCGACGCTGGGGACTCCTCGCTCCTCGGTTCTCATACATCGCCAGTGACGCCGGGGTCTCCTCGCTCTTTGGTGCTCGGACATCGCCAGCGACGCTGGGGACTCCTTGCTCTTCGGTGCTTGGACATCGCCAGCGACGCCGGGGACTCCTCGCTGTTCGATGCTCGGACATCGCCAGCGATGCCGGGGACTCCTCGCTCTTCGGTGCTCGGTCATCGCCAGCGATGCCGGGGGCTCCTCACTCCTCGGTGCTCGGACATCGCCAGCAACGCCGGGGACTCCTCGCTCCTCGGTGCTCGGACATCGCCAGCGACACCGAGGACTCCCTTGCTGCTCGGATCTTGCTACGTCTCGTCGGTGTGCTATCAAGCTGCTCCATGCTGTTCGGATCAGGGTGCTGATTTTGGGCAGCACATCTAGGGTCTTGATACGCGCATGTCAGACGACGTCGGCAAGCTTTCAGACTTCTTTTTCTTTGACCCTGCTACAAGATTCATTCTTCATCTTCCAGCAGGCTCGGGGACTAAGTGGGCACACTTCACCTTGCGGTGAATGTGCGCTTTTCTCAACTCGAGGCTACGCCCGGGGACAGGCTATCTGCTCGGCTGGTCTTCTACTTTCTGACCCTGCCACCACGTGACTACGTCACCTACTGTCAGGCTCGGAGACTAGCTGTGGGGGTATAGCCCCCGGTATCCATAAGACAATACATGGGCCGCACCATCAGAGGTGGCCCGGCCCACAAGATCAAGGCGTGCACGGCGCTGCTCGGCGTGCACCGCAAGATATTATATAGTACCAAATAGGCTACTTTCCTTATAACCCTGCCCCTCCAGAGTATATAAGGAGAGGAAGGGGTCCCCTAGCGGACACGACCTACACACAATCTATCCACTACAAATCAATGCAATACACCAAAGACACAGGACGTAGGGTATTACATCGATCAGACGGCCCGAACCTGTCTAAATCGTTGTCTCTGCGCCTTGTGTCACCATCCGGTTCCTGATTACGCGCATCCCCACCGACAAATCTACCATCGTGGGATACCTCTCGGTGGACTGCCGAGCATCTTTTGTCGACAGTGATAGATATATCTGTAGTAGTAATGTTTGCAATATATGCAGCATGTGCAACATCCCCTGATCTACTTTTGCAACATCCATATGATTCAACTGCAACATACCTCTCTGAAGCGTCTGAAACAACTGAAAGATACAATTGCAACATGGGGGGAGAGCCTGGCGCGGGGAGTGCCATGGCCACCGGATCTGAGGGCGTTGGGAGGTCCCTGTGGGGGGATGCCGGTGTCGGGGGAGGGGCGCCGCAGGGGTGGGGGAGGAGGACGCCAGGGTCGGGGAAGGAGCCACCGGTGTGGGGGAAGGATGCCGCGTTGGGGGAGGAGGACGCCGGAGTGGGGGAGGGGGGGCGCCGGGGTGGGTGAGGGCGCCACTGGGTGGGGAGGAGGACACGTGGCGGCGGCGTGGGGGAGGCAGCAGGTGTGGAGAAGACGGGCGGGAGGTGCGGAGAAGCGTGTTCGCCGGCTCGCGACGTTGTGGGACGTAGTCAGGGGGCGCGGCGCTGCGGTGAATTGTTTTTCGTTTTTTAAGAAACCGAGGGGAGTGGATAAGAATGCCTTGTGGGCCTCCCGGCCTGCCAGCAGGTCCGTCCGGTGCGGACGGACGCCCGTATACAATCATTATCGTATATATATAGATGTCGCTGTTACTCAATATCTGGAGAAATATTCGTAACCGACACTATCCGCGTCTGACTCATCCCGTATTCGATATATATTTTTTCGTAGCTGTACCCGATAGCTATCCGTGTCCGAGTCTGAATCCGAAGAAAAGTATGAAAACAAATATGATATGAACAATATCTGTTCGTATTCGATCCAATTACATCCCTAATCTTTGGTAAAGACTCTGCCATTGTTACTGATGATTGCTAAAACCAAATATGATAAAGAACGAGGCCGCAGTTACGTGACACTTAAATCAAATGGCGTTCTCAATTGTTAATAGATAACGACAGCATTACACAACCAATTTCACCTCAACGTGTGGCTAGCCTGACAAAATGTAGTTAAGAACGAGTCAAGGATTGGAGCAGTAGTTGTCTATTCTTCTTTGGACAAAATTGTTATCTATTGTACTGACACATTCTGTTGCTTATATAATACTGCGCATGAAAGAAAACAAATCTATGCAATAACTTATTATATACTACTGTATTACTTATATAATACTGACATACTACCGTGTGACATTAACTTATCTTCTACTTCTAACACGCTAGTAGTATAGCCATACAGGCGCAGTACCATGGGAGGAGCTGGAATCATCTTCTCACGAATGTCTGATAACTTTAATAGCACAACTCTTCAGTGCAACACAAACAGACAAGCCCGTGTACCTAGCTCTCAAAACAGAAGCTAATGCTAATTCCTGATTACATTACAGATCGAGGCTAAATTAGCAAATGTGCGAACAACAGTTGAGAATAGAGGCAAGCAGTTGGATACACAGTTACACACGATGCTAGTATGCTACATCCATGTGACTAGTAGTCAGCAAGAGACGGCCCTTAAAGCTGCCCTATCCTACCGGTGTGTACATCACCTTTGTCCCATCGCAGTAAAGGTAAATCTTCATGCAAGTATCTGGTCCAGAGAGGGCAAGTAGCTCCTTACAGAGATCCTCATCGAGAGTTGCCGAAGGATCAAAATTTATAGTAACTGTTTTGAGCACTGGTGTCCATCCCAATAGTCGTTTCACAAATGCAAAATCACAATCTGCAACGCTGAATCCACAAATATCCAATTCCTCGAGAGAATTCAAGCAGAGCTCCTCAGTCTTGCGGCTGATGACAAACACAACCCGGCGAACAAGCAGATTGTTCCTGATGAGGACCATAGACATAAGATAGGATAACTTCTCAACAATCTTTTCAATGGCTATTGACAATAAGAAAAGCATGCAGGAGAAAGTGGAAAACAATTCGATTTACAGTCATTTAGAAAGTGGAAATGTGAACATATGCCAAATTTGCATAAGAATGGGATATCATTTGGTGTTAGCCAATGAGTTCGTGGCATGTATATATAGAGAATTGTAGAAAACAAAATTTCTACAAAATGACACAAAAAATATACCAACTGTAAATAGAGTATAATTGATGAATTTTGCTTCTTAGGGTTTCAACAGAGCCTTTAGCATGGCATAATGAGAAGTAAAATCAGCTTAAACACTAGACTGTGTGAGCAAATTATACCATCAGTTTGAAACCTGATGCCAGTGAGCATCTACGCTGGCAATTAATTAGGATCCAAAGTAGGGCTGCAACTTTTCATTGTATTTTTGAATTGATGCACAGCTGCTAGTATGGATCCATACAATTATATCTTCCAGAAACAAACCATGAAAGAAAAGTAGAAAACTACACCTATGCGTAGCAAACTAACTCCTGAAGTATCAATGTACCACCATTGGTCAAGCATTAGTGCACCAAATGAAAATCTTCCACCACTTTCCAAGTAACCAAAGTATTCAAAGCTGATAAGGTGAAGCATACCGGAATGTTTTCATGTATCTGCAGAAACAGCCTTCTTATACTGGTAAAAATCTTTAGGAAATGGAATATGCAAGAGACAACAGCATGTCCAATTGTTACTAAGCGCAGCCATAAGTCCTCAACTGGGGGCAAGGTTAGAGCTTCCATCAAGTAATGGTAGTTAACCATCTTCTGCAAATTCATAAAAAGCCACAACAAAATTTCATATGCAGCAAGAAATAAAGCAACTCTCTAGAATAACTGATTTTCTCACAAGGAATGACTTGTTACAAAATACAAGCAAACTACTTTAGAATTATTTTGCAGACTAATGACACAAGATGTCTCTGGTAAAGAATCACAACTAAGAACTAAACACTCAGCCTGTTTAGGCCTTAACTGAGTTGAATATGCCCCAAGTAACACACTACCATCCACTCCTGAATTCATGTCCTTGACTAAATAAGTAAATATTACAACTATACCAGTGCATCAACAGGAACAACTGACAAAAAGCGGTTGAAGTAATCAATCATCAATCATTCAATATAAGGCACCAAGGTACATCATATTTTATATAAAAAAGGAAGACTAAACACAAACCATCTATAGGATTTACCTAAGTGAATAACCTCGATAATCCTACGAATGTGAGACTTCAGAAAAAACAAACTGAATGAGAGTGTCATATAAGAAATGGGGAGTTCTTAAAAATTGTCATGTGTAGTCATACAAAAAAGGACTGTATCTAAAACGATGATATATGTGAATAGGGGTGGCACCAATCGAAGAAAACCTTGTCCATCATTGAAATGGTATGGACATATCCAACAAATGCCACTAGAGTCACTGGTGCACAGAAGAATAGTAAGGCGTGCCAGTACTGTAAAGAGAGGCAGCAGGGCTCAAACAAACCTAACACGAGAAGAGTTTGTAAAGAGATACTTGATGGAATATCTCAAAAAAACAACATTTTACTATTACTTATAACTTTTTTTTAATGCTTGGATACTTATTGGGTTTTAATCTCTGGCCTACCTCAACTCACTTCAAACTAAAATGCTTTGTTGTTGTTGTATCTACCCATGCTGATAACTCAATACCATGCTGAACACATTTCCTTTTAACCCATTCCACACTTGATACCGAAACTTGTTGTCAAAAAATTAAACAAACAACCATTCAAGGGAAAATATGGCAGCATCGCCATCTAACATGATTTTCAATTATTCACACGCTGTAGCACCATCATGGATGATACCAACACCAAGACAATCTTCTAAGCTACTGATCAAGATAAGGATACCAGATTAATTCGACACTATTCTCTACTGATCGTGATAAACACTTTATATTTAACGAAAGGACATAGGAGTTATAAAAACTTTTTTCCATTTTTTGTGTTCTACTATAAGTTAACTAAAGAGTAATGAACGTGTGTCTTGCAGCATCAGTCCATTTGGCTTGAGGTGGGATAAAAAAAAACCCAATTCATTTGCTTGCCAGATCAAATAATCATGTATACATCTGATGGTTGCACATGGCCATCAGCCCATGTATGGTCAAGTGTTAAAACAGTGAGCTGTATTCATGTCCCTACAACTGAAGGTTGTTTGACCAGGCATTACATTGACAGTCAGTTGCTTGCTACATCAAAGTCTATCAACACTACAACTCCGAAGTAGTTTTTGTTACAAACTTACAGTTACTAGCCTTTCATCTGAAAAAGCTTACAGTTACTAGACAACTGTACTTAGCAATATTTAAATAAAGAAAAGTTTCAAATGCACTATAACAGGACACGTATAGAGAGTACTCACACGTGGATCACAGATCGAAATGTAAAGATCAGGGATCTTCTGAAAGCACTGCGATAACATCAAACTACCCCAATTGTACTGATGATCAGGCAATTCAAAGCATAAGGTTGCCAGTCTCTGTAGATGTGCCATCTGACCAAGCTGGACCGAGATGGGATCATATCTATCAATCCACTTGATCATTTCCATAACAGGAGCAACGATGTCAACCACTGGTTGCCTCTCGAAGAAGCATTAAAAAATACTCAGTTCTATCAGCATTGGTGACACAACAGTGAGCTGCTGCAACCCTTTGACAGTTTGCAACCACAACCTTAGGAGAGACTCTGAGCAGATAGCGAGGTTGGACACCCCATGAGTGTCGACGAGACGAAGTTGTCGCAACGAAGGGCAACGAGCAGACGAGAAGGCGTCGCCGATGTCGCAGGCGCCTGGGAACTGGACGTAGGCCAGGTCCAGCATGTTGAGCTTCGTGAACACGCCGGACGGTGGCAGCACGAGACCAAGGTAACCTAGGCGGAGGATAAGCCGTTCGGCCCTGTCGAAGTAGGGCATCTCAAGTTCTCAACGGCGGCTCTTACACCGGCCTCCCGAAGCTTCGTCAGCACGTTGTGGAAAAGGAGCTCGTTGGTGAGGCGGGGCGCTGCGAGGCGGAATACCGCGGCGGCTTCCCTCGGGTCCGCGTCGTTGGCCACGACGCTCAGGAGCCGTCGTTGGCCACGACGCTCAGGAGCCGAAGCGCGGGCGCCTCATGGCGGGCGAGCGCCGCGCAACAGCCGGCTCGGCGGGGAGCGGGAACCGCAGCTCCGGGAGCTGCGCCCAGAGGCGGCTCCAGCGGCGGGAAAGGACGCAGGTCCACGCGGCGGCCGCGGCAGAAGGGAGGTGGAGGATGACGAGGAGGAGGATGTCTTCGGGGAGCGCACTGAGAAGGTCCTCCTTCTCCCCCTCGCCGCCGCCGCCTTCGTCACCGGCGGCGGCGTGATCCGGGAGTGAAAGGGTTGGGGGCGTGCGGCGGTTTCCCCCGGATATGCACAGAGCCGCCAGGAATTTCTCCCAAATGTCACGCATCGTAGACCCAACGCCGTCGCCGCGAGATCACCTCCACCTCAGTTGTATTGGGTCTCTCCAGCGTTGGCGATTTCTCGGCTGATCGCCGGCGAGAGCTGCCGTGCCGCAGCCAACTACGGAGAATTGGGGTTTTCGGACGGAGGCCCGTCGTCACTCGCCACTAGTCATGGGCCGCGAGCGACCACTAGGCCGGGCTGTGCTGGGGAAAAGCCCACTCCATTCTAGTGCAAACGAACTCACCTGGCCCAATCCGGCCCAACTTACAATATTCTTCAAGGTTCAAGACCTTTTCACATCAATGTTCTGGCCAAACCTGCTAGTTTCTACTTTGGCAAACGTACAACATTTCTTGTATTTGGTTCATTTCTGCGCTACCTAAAGTTTTCATTTCCGTGCTTTTGTTGAAATTTGAAAGAGATATGCTCCTCTCTGTCGTGGGCCCTCACAATTTGTAGCATTTTCATGCTGGCAATCTCCTACAAGGATCAAAACACAAAGGTAATAATGTCAAATTGTGAATTCAAACTTGCCAACGGAATTTTCGGCCCGTACTATTCACTAACTCAGCATAATGAATCAGTTCATGTAGTAAGTACAAGCAAAATGGTTGTTTTAGGGACCCCTCACCCTCTGCTCACCTGTGCCTGCCCCGCACCCTCTGCTCGCCTACGCCAGTGTGCCGGCTGTCGCGGCCCCCTACTCCTCTCGTCCAGTGCCGCCTGCTCCTCCTGTCGTGGCTCCTAGCTCGGCCACGTGTCCCCTGTGCTTGCTGGTGCTTTACTCGCTCGAGCGAAGTGGGTTGCCCTTTTCCGCTCGATTCGGAGGAATCGGCTTGACCCACATCTAAGGAGAATATTCCCTTTAGGGGATGAGCCCGGACTCTTAGTCCCTAAACCAAACACTCTCAAAACTAGGTCCAACCCACCCCAATCCACTCCAACCCCCTTAATCAAGCACATGCTTAGGCCCCGTTTGGAACGGAGAATTTTTCCTAGGTTTTTTCCCCAAAAAAATCAAAATGATTGTTATGAAGCTTCTGTACAATTCCTGTGAAATTCCTGCGTTGCAAACATATTGGTTACTACAATGATGACATATATGGTCGTTTAATATAATCCTAGCGCTCAAGATTGGTGGTAGAGCTTTAAGTGAGAGAGGCCAATGATGCTAACCTCAAAAGGATGTTAATGTTTAAATTAGGCCTTGTTTGGTCGTGAGAATTGGATGTGATTCTCACATGAATCACTAGAAACGGCTCCAAATGATGTTGTGGCACCTTGATCCGGAAAAGATTATGTATCGTGCATCTTCAGCGAAGTTAGAAACCGAAAAAGGGTGCTCTGCAGAGAATCGTTTCTTTGCCGCACTTATGGACTACCAATTTTATTCTTTTTAGTTAGAATCCTTTTTTAGTGCAACAAGTTCAATGCCGTACTGACTCCAGGTTCTGAATTTGCGATGTGCGATTGTAGCTGATCAAGGAAGGGGAACCTTGCAAACATGCAATGAAGTCAGCAAATGTCTGCTGGGACAGGGGATTTGTCACTGCCATCGTTGGCCCTGTTCCACTATTACAAGGCATTGGCAAATCTTGTTCACTGTCCACCCAGTGATACTGTGATTAGTGATCACGCAATGACTCTGGCAGTTTCTGTTAAAACAAAGTTAGATGCAGGGCTTTCTGCCGCTAATGGCAGTTCTTCAATTAGAACAGTTTTCTGGGATCCACAATCAACTAGGAAGCCAAGAGATTCTGAAATTGAGGAAGCCAATTTTGAGAATGGTGTGTATGCAGGTCAAAGAGGCTTCCACAGAAGAGGACAGTCTGGCACATGAAAGTAGGAAGCCAGAAGAAAGTCAGGAGAAGCTTCTGAAGGAACTTCAGCAACAGAAGCTACACGTCCTTCCGAGACTGAAACCAGCCAAGCAATTGGGACATGACTTTTCATGAGTGTTAGGTTAGTTTTTTTTCTGTTTCTTAATGCACCTAGAATGCCTAACGTATGGATCAGATAGGATGATTCAATTGTTGAATTAACTAGCAGCAGCGTCTGTTTACGAAGCATGGAAGGCAGCATAAATCATCTCTATGAATAAGGAAACCGCGTAAATTATGCAGAGCACAACAATGATAAGTTAGTCTAAATGTCAGTACAACATTGAAAACCTAATGACCTCGGGAATATCTTGTAAATAAAAGCAATATCATATCATATAGTACCTGCATAATTAACAGCTAATTCATGAGTTTGTGATGCATTCATGTAATTTTGCTCGACAGATGTCACACCTGTTACATAAATCAATTTCCAGCCAACAGTTGGAGCAGGTTGCACCTCAATTAATTTTCAGTGGTTTCAAAACCTGTTAAGGGAAAAATCAAGGGAAGAAAACACAACAAAATTGTCTGAAACCACACTGCAACATCCACAGCATACTGAAACTGATTTTGACCTCAACACAAATTACATGTTCTACTGCAACGAGTCTAAGATTTTTCATACGTCTCTGGGTTACATGAACTCTCTCACAAGAATCCCTTGCATATATGCTGTTACTTTTTGTTTGAAAAAAAAGGAGGTTATGTTACTTTCCCTCGGATGGATAACGATCCAACTGTATTTTCCAAGGAAGAACAAGCAACCAATTGGAGTCAATTTAAAGGTTTCGGCAAGGAGCTGACAGCTCCTGACACAGGACATGTTTCAGAATTACTTCAGTATACAGATTTAAATGTGAATGCCACATGAAAAAAGAACATGCCATAAGTTGTCATGAAAGCACAAACTCAACTATTGATTGATGCAAAGAAAACAATTGACTATAGCTAACTGTTAATACAGTTTTTCTCAGGGTTCATGAAATGTAGAAATAAGCAAATAGCTGTCTCTCAGCATCAGGTTGGTCCAACATTGTACTTCTCTTGGAGAGAACTAACTTTTGGACCTGACAGCCAGTATACAATTCTTCCAGGCAGATCAGGTTGGATCACTGTTCCTTGCGAATGCCTCTAGCAACACTACAACTGATGTTCTATTAGGAAGATGAGATGTGGCACGTCCACATGACAATTAATTGCACATATTACCATTTGAAACTATATAAGTTTCCTCAGGCTCCAGCAAAGGACGTACCCAGTGCAGAGAGCTCCCGCTCTATGCGGGGTCTGGGGAAGGGTGTCAGTGGCAAGCCTTACTCTCGCCTGTACAATGCGAGGAGACCGCGACTCGAACCCGGGACCTTCCGATCACAGACGGTAAGACTCTACCGCTTGCACCAGGCCCGCCCTTCAGCACATCTATTTTTTTTTTCTGTAGCACAAATAAGACTTATAGTTCAAAATTTTTGATGTAACCAGAAGGCTTCAGTTTGTAACCGTTCCATACATGCAACATTAGCGAAATATGGAGGATAATTTTTATTTGATTGACATAAATAAACACACGACCAAGCAAACTAAATTCACAGTAAATAATTGCTCATTAATACAGCCACAAAAGAACATGCTAATCATAAAACTTATCACCAAAGATCAAAATTGTTCAACTTGTGCAACAACATTCATTATATAATAACTAGCATCCATAAAGGTACACTACATAATTGTCTCAACAGGCTTGCAGTACTAATTAGATCAAAAGCATGAGAAGGCATACATCCAAGCATGAGCACTAATTAAGTAGGCATACATCCGAAGTCTCAACAGGCTTGCAGTACTAATTAAGAAGGCATACATCCAAGCACAAGCAGAACATTTCACCTGAGTCAACTGGAATTTAACCAACCAGCTAGCTCATACTTAGAGCACACACTTTCAGTGCTTATTTGTGAGCGCCGATGATTCTGAGAAATAGTGAACATAACAAGCAAAATCGCCCCGGCATTTGTAATCTTTAAAAGTGGCAATAACACTCACTTCCTTACGGTCCATGTTGTATGCTATCAGCTCACTGCTGAAAAAAAGAAAAGCACATTACAATCTTGATGAATGTCTACCACTTGATACTCTGGAGTGACTCTTGTTTCTCCAAAGACATCCAAAGAGTTCACAGTGCTCTTCAACACCCATTCCTGTGTATCATAATCCTGAAGAACCCATGTGGATAGTTTGTCGTTATTTTTATCAGCAGAATCTATAGTCACGCAATGTAGGTGCCCTTGGGACTGACCTAAATAACATGTAATGCTGTGCCTTTGGCTCTCATCAGCCATACCTGGCATAGTGATCATCCTTCTTGCCTCCCCTTGTACATCTACAGCAAGTATGTGCTTTCCATCTGAGCCCCAAACTATCAAATGTAGGAAGCTATTAACAAGGGCGCACTGATAGACAGCATCTAGTGTAGACTGATGATGCCACCCTTCCAATTGTCCTTGCTCTTTTTGTTCATCAATTTGGTTTTGACTCCAGGTCCCAGTTTCAGACGAGTAAACATGCAACAACACTACATCCTCGTGCATATAAGGCATCGGGAAATGCACATCAGGCATCTGGAACTGGACCAAGTGAAAGTGAGAGGATACGGCCGGATCAAAAGCGAAATAGGTGTGGATTATTCCTTCACAAGAGCCACAAGCAGGCACGGCTGACCATTGCCTTGTGGTCGGGTTGCACATGATGTAGCCTTTAGACGACTCCTGATGCTGCCTGAAAAGGATAAGCCCGTTGCAGGAATGCAACAAGAAGGCCGCGATCCCAGTCATTTCAGTCAGGAAGGAGAAGCAAGTGTCGATGTCCAGAGGCACGGATCTCACTGTGAGGTCGGTGAAACTGATACGGCCATTGTCAACCTCGGAGTCAGAGACCTCGAACGTCTGGACGAACAGTCCTTGCATGGGTTGGCGGAGCTTCTTACGGTTGTCAGGGTCGGCGATGAGGTCGCACCAGGCCTTGGAGACGCACTTGAAGCGACAGACGGACTTGGCAGGGACGCGGGAGAGGATCTCCACCAGGGGATCGTCAAGGAGGACGGTCACCGCGCCGGCGCTCATCTTGGAGCAGCCCGCCTCCATGCCTCCCTCCGAGAGCAATCTGTGTGAAAAGCGGGGACCGAGCGAGATGGAGGTGTGAGGGGATGCGAGGGGGAAAATGCAGCAATGGGGAGGAAAAGAGGGGCTTACCAGACACCGGAGATGGACGCGGTCAAGGGCGCCGGCGCCGGGCGGTGCCAAGGCTGAAGATCAAATTCAATTCAAATGGGGATTTGGGGGATTTCTGAACCCTAGGAGCCGCCCGAACTTGAGCTCGTCAGCTTGGTGTCCGTGGAGCCGAGAGGCTGGCTGCGGCTGGAGCAAGCAAATGAGCTCTCGGTGGAGTGTGGACAAATGAGCAAATGAGTTTGGGCTTCATGTAAACTAGCAGGAACCCCACGGCAAATGCCGCGGGTGCTAGGCATAAATAACAGGTAATCTTGGAAGAATCGACAAATTCATTCATTGTTATCATCTAAAAGGAGCAGCAGAACAACAAACACATAAATATATATTCTGTAATTGAAATATTAAGAAATTCTGAAAGTAGATTACAAAAATAGAAATCAATTGTTGTGGGGAGCCTGTCGTTTAAATGTCAATTTCAAAAAGTCAAAATCGCCTATAAACAGATTATCTATAGGTACAACCTAAGCCCTATTCTTTCTGTTTGAAGTAGATGAAACATCAGAGTTCAAAGCGCACTATGATTATATGCAACATGGGCAGCACCACTCTTTGCTTGTCAAAGAAAGATCTGCGGGAAAAAAAAGGAAAGCTATCACAGTGGTCAACAGATATAATGAGTTAACTGAGTGACTATGAGAGTTGTGTCATAGAATAGACCTTTAGGTGGGTTCATATTGCATAGAAGCATTAAGCGAACGCCTATCTTTAGTTTGGAAGTGGCGTTGTGGTGGTCTGGCTATGCTTCAATTTGAACTATACTGAGAAATTGCAGTACATAAAGAGCTTCGAGTGTATAAGATCACAAATTGTTTACACATGCTGAAATGAAGTCTTGAATCACATATATCGCATTAAAAGGAAAAAGGGTTACATGATGAGGCATTAGCAATTCAGGGACAGTGCGTGATTGGGGGTTTTCTTTCATAGAGTAATCCACAAATTGCAAAGTTCAGATTATTTCCAAAGATGTAAACTAATAAATAGTGAGGACAAATAATTTCACCTTTGTCAAGGGCTGAACACAATTGCAGCACCAGTATTTGGTATGGCATCCCATTGCTCCATACATCTAAGAACACCATTAGTTTGTCCACACTACCTTTTCTGCAGAGTAGATCAATAACAGTAGGACAGTTAATCGACTAACCGAAGATATGTTTGGGATACAGTATCACTGCACATAAGTATCCACTGTAGCACTTTTATTCGACAATCACTGAAGTCCATCTTTCCTCTGAAATATGCCATCCCAATTAAAGTGCTTCATACAGAAAAGATGTTATCATGCCTAATAAATTTATTGTAATAGAACTATCAACATTCTAAATATTTCTTAAGCGATTGTTGTTTAGCAGATACTATAACATCTATGAAGCAGATTAGCAGGAAGATTAGACTTTCTAATAACAAAATTCGTGCATGTTGTAGTAACCACCATGTAGTAACTATGAAACAAAGCTGAATTGTCTAGGGGTGAGGATGGGAGTTAGATAAAATTCTGACCCCTCTAGACCTCTGAATCCGACCACAATTTATTTGATTTTCTAGTTTTCCTTCCAGGAGGTGCATGGGCTACGCATTTGTTTTCTAAAATTATGTGAGTAATTCTGAACCACAAATATTAACTTTGCAGAACTCACTGAGACACATAGGATGGTTTCAGAAGGAACAATTACTCAAGTGAGAAGAGCCTTCAATCGTGAAGCTCGTAAGTTTATGCGGCACGCGAATCAGAACTATAGCCTCCATTGAGGTAAGCAGTTTCGTGATCAATGTAAAATATAAGTAGCAGCTCACAGCACCGAAGGAGTCATAATTCAAAAATCCATAGTGAAACCAAAGAAAGGGGAAATAAGCAAACTGACCAATACAACAACTAATCCATAGACACAGGATAGCAGGTCACTGAACAATTCCGGTGATCTCGAAGGAAGCATTAAGAAGAGATGCCATCCAAAAAGCATATACTCAGGAGTATTAGCCAATGATTCAGATTAAACATGCATGTAATAAATAGAGGAGACCTTACCACAGCATCAACCCTATGAGAGAAAAATGTGAAGCAACTGTCTTGCTGCAGGAATTTTGGCTGCATGCATACAACAACAAAGCCTTTTAGTCCCAAGTAAATTGGGATCATTGTAACTTTAGATGCCAACTCCACAATATGTCCGAAACCTAAATTGACTCAACTCTCCAAAGATGAAGCAAGCAAATCAGTCGGTATTTGAGCCCAGGAGCATTTCCCTTGAAGCAGTGTTAAAATGCACGACATGGATGGTCATTAATCCAATCAACCTTAGTTGCCTAAGTAGTCAAGGCGAAGGCTTCTAACGGAAAGCCTGACCATAGCATTGCCATACAAATATAAAGATAAGATAAAGGGGCGTACCCAGTGCAGAGAGCTCCCGCTCTGTGCGGGGTCTGGGGAAGGGTGTTAGTGGCAAGCCTTACCCTCGCCTGTGCAATGCGAGGAGAAATAAGATACCAGGAAAAATAAACGCAATTATTTTTATGCATAGAATTGCTATTCATTACTATTACCTGTGCGAACAGCCATCGTGTAATTCGGACGGACTCAAATATTATATTCTTGCTACTACACTATTTTGAGATCCATATTATTGGAAATAAGTACGAATAAATGTGAGTTAAAGAAAGGAGCACATGAAAAAAATGGAAAAGGATACCCAACATTCAAAGATGCTGGGTACAGGTAAAATTCCAAATTGTTTATGTGAAGCAACCTTTTGTTTAAAGGAATGAAGGGATAATCGACAACGTAAAATTCAAAGGTGCTGGGTACAGGTAAAATTCCAAATTGTTTATGTGACGCAACCTTTTGTTTAAAGGAATGAAGGGATAATCGACAACGTAAAAGCAGTAGCAAAATACAGTAGCTGGTCTTTGAGAAATTAGCAGCAGTATATGCTTATGAGGTAGTAGTAGGTGCTGGTGAATGCACCTTTTCATATAACAGGAGGCAGGCAAAATAAATCATAAACAGAAAATTAGAAGTAAAAAATGACCTGAGGAAGAATGAAGGAATACCAATACTGTATTACTAAATGGGACTATTAAATCTATAGCATGTCCAATTTCGAATAACCTACTTTGCAGACACAACAATCTCCTGGATAGTGAAGATAAGAGCTTAGAGGAAGTTCAGAATCAATTAGCATCAGTAACCTCTGCCCTTTTATTTGAGGACATGGAACACATACTTCGATGCAATCGTTTGGTAAACTAAGATGGGTCCACTGCAATGTCTTCGCAGGAAATATACATAGGAACAAAAGCATGGAACATCGCTAATTAAAGAAATTTTCTCAAATATTCGTACCACTAATCTTGGGCGAAACCGCAGTACATGGACATTAATCTGCAACAGATAGATGGGAAGCGGGTTCAGTCATGAATGCAAGAACAATTGTTAGGCAGAGGAAGAGGATGGCAAACTTACCATGTGTTTATGCTTGTTAGGTACATGCTACAACCAAATGAGCTGCTGAACCTGGCACCCAAAAATACAGTAGACATCGCTGAAATCAAAATATGGGTATATCGAATCGACCAAGCAAGTATCAGATCGGACCAAGAACACAGTCGTAGGGACTGTCACGTCGGCGGCATACACGAGGCCGAGCAGCCGTAAAGCACGACGGTCGGGGTGAGGCCGGGCATCCGTAGAGCAGGTCGAAGAAGCGGCGCAGATCAGCGCGAGCATCCACGTGCGTGAGGAGGGGGAAGGAGAGAGGTGAAGGCGGGAGGGGGCCGCCGCCAGGGCTTGCTCGTGCGGCTGCGCCGGCCGATCCGGGGGCCGCTCGGGCCGTTGCGCCGTCCCGTGGACGCGCAGCGGCGTCGCGGCAGGGAGGGCGACGTGGGTACGAAGGACGCCATGGGGAGGGAGGGAGGGAGGGCGACGCGGGAAGGGCGGGCGGAGCGCGAGCGGCGGCGCGGAAGGTGAGGACCGAGGAGAGGAGGGGGAAGGGATGGCGAGGAAGTTTTTTTATTTTTTATTTATAAGAAATACAATACAATACACGTGTGTTTGAGAAATAAAAACATAAAATTTGCGGCAGCGCAGCACCAGCAGTGCGACGCGATGACCATGACGAACCAATAGGCAATGGACCAACCACTCTGTAACTTATTCTTTAAAAAAAAATGTTTTCTGTGATATGTAATCTATGATATGTGGATATATGATCTTGTGATTATCTGAAGTTAGAGGTGAAAAAAGATAAAAACTGTTGAATCTTAATTTTATAGTGCAAAAAAATTTATATATTGAAATTATATAAAACCCATGCCTGTGCACTAGACACTCTTTTTTTTTCCTCCGTAGGAGAGAAGGCCGAAGGGATGGGGAGAAGTGTGGACACGTGGACGGTACCGGACATGAAGGCGTGGAGGGGCAGAACGATCGGAGGGCGGTGGTGGAAGGACTGTTGCTGGTACAGGAAACTGAGTCGAGAGGGGGCATGGTATAGGGTAGATTTAGTTTTTCGAGTGGGCCTCGAGCCTGAATGAATGCGTCTCGTGTCTGTTAATCGTCCGTTATTTTTTCCAAAAACATCGGGCTGGTTGTAGAACGTGTACGGTGTACTAGCTTAGCTCAGCTGGGAAGCGGTGTGGATCGCTAAATTGCTAAACACTCGCAATTCCTAGATTTTTTTAAGAAAAAAATGCGACTTTGTCTACATAGTGTTGGACGTTGGTGCTTCGCTTGATCAATAAAACACTCGCAAAATGGTGGGCAAAGGAGTACAACGAAAATATGTTGTTAGGAGAGAAAAACATAGTCAATGGCAACATGACATGTCTAGTTGCCCACATTTCCTATATTTTAG